TCTGCTTTCTTCAGTCTTTGCTATTTTCTGCTTGCTATTCTGAACCTCTTAAACAACATTATTTTAGGTTCTTGTGGGTTTTTTCGGGCTATAGAGCCATGTTCTAGAGGCATTTCTCCTGACGTTTCGCCTGCATCTATGGCAAGCATCCTCAGAGGTATGAGGTCTGTTGGAATTAGGACAATGGGTTTATATATCTGTGGAATGGCTGGGGTGGGGCAAGGAGCTCTTCCCTGCTGCAGTTAGGTGTGAATGTTTAGCTGATCACCTTCATTAGCATTTGAAGGCTTGCCTGAGCCTGGGAAAATCTGTTGCTGGGAGGTGTTAATCTGTGCCTGGTTTTTTCCTCTCTGTTGTTTTTAGCTGTTATAATTTTAGAGTTTTTTAATACTGGTAGCCAGATTTTGTTCATTTTCATGGTCTCTTCCTTTCTGTTGAAATTGTCCACATGCTTGTGGTTTCAATGGCTTCTCTGTGTAGTCTGACATGGTGGTTGTTGGTGTGGTCCAGCATTTCTGTGTTCTCAAATAATATGCTGTGTCCAGGCTGGTTCATCAGGTGCTCTGCTATGGCTGACTTCTCTGGTTGAAGTAGTCTGCAGTGCCTTTCATGTTCCTTGATGCGTGTCTGGGCGCTGCGTTTGGTGGTCCCTATGTAGACTTGTCCACAGCTGCATGGTATACGGTAGACTCCTGCAGAGGTGAGAGGATCCTTCTTGTCCTTTGCTGAACGTAGCATTTGTTGGATTTTCTTGGTGGGTTTGTAGATTGTTTGTATGTTGTGTTTCCTCATCAGCTTCCCTATGCGGTCAGTGGTTCCCTTGATGTATGGCAGGAACACTTTTCCTCTGGGTGGATCTTCATCTTTACTCTCGTGGCTTGTTCTTGGTCTTGCAGCTCTTCTGATGTCTGAGGTGGAGTATCCATTGGCCTGGAGAGCCCAGTTGAGGTGGTTCAGTTCATCTTGGAGGTGGTGGGGTTCGCAGATTCTTTTTGCACGGTCTGCCAAGGCTTTAATGGTGCTTCTTTTTTGACTTGGGTGATGGTTGGAGTTTTTATGTAGATATCTATCTGTGTGTGTGGGTTTTCTGTAGACGGTGTGACCCAATTGTTGATCTGGTTTGCGGATGACTAGGACATCTAGAAAAGGCAGTCTTCCTTCATTTTCTTTTTCCATGGTGAACTGGGATGTTTGGGTGGATGCTGTTAAGATGGTCCAGGAACCTGTTGAGTTCTTCTTCTCCATGGCTCCAAATGGTGAAGGTGTCATCCACATATCTGAACCATATCGTGGGCTTTTTGGTTGCTGTCTCCAGGGCTTGTTTTTCAAAGTGTTCCATGTAGAAGTTAGCTATGACCGGCTGAGAGGGCTCCCCATAGCTACTCCATCTTTCTGTTCGTAGAATTCATTGTCCCACTGAAAGTAGCTGGTGGTGAGGCAATGGTGAAACAGAGCCGTGATGTCTTCTGGGAACCTCTGGTTGATGAGTGCCATGGTGTCTGCTACCGGGACCATGGTAAATAGAGATACCACATCGAAGCTGATCAGTTTGTCGTTTGTATTTAGCTTCGATGTGGTATCTCTGTTCTCCCAGGAACAGATTTTCCCAGGCTCAGGCAGACCTTCAAATGCTAATGAAGGTGATCAGCTAAACATTCACACCTAACTGCAGCAGGGAAGAGCTCCTTGCCCCACCCCAGCCATTCCACAGATATATAAACCCATTGTCCTAATTCCAACAGACCTCACTACCTCTGAGGATGCTTGCCATAGATGCAAGCGAAACGTCAGGAGAAATGCCTCTAGAACATGGCTCTATATCCCGAAAAAACCCACAAGAACCTAGTGATTCCAGCCATGAAAGCCTTCGACAATACAACATTATTTTAACTGTATTTTTTATTCTGCCTTTCATCTAATTCTAGCTTCCAGAAAACAAAATATATGTAATTAAAGCAATCAAATTAAAATCAATTATATATATATAGAGAGAGAGAGAGAGAGAGAGAGAATGAATGAATGAATTTAAAGAACGAAAAATAAGTGCAGCATAACTATTAAAAGCACTTGTTCCTTCAATAATTCTCAAAGGCCTCAGGACCCTCTGGGAGGGAGCCAGTCTAGCATATCACATGGAGCTGATAGACAACACTGTTTTTCTAGCCTTGCCACTCCTGGTGCAGCAAAACAAAACAAAAAAAAAAACACTATGGGAGAGATCCTGTATTGTCAAACAGGTACAAAGACAGAACACTGTCATCATAGCTGTGCCAATTGATGCCACCCCCCCCCATCAATCTCCTAGGCAACCGTATTGAGTGCCATCCAATCTGGGTGTGGCACTGGCACTTATTTCATTTTGGATCTCATCATCGGGTTTTCTGGATAAGAGATCTTCAAAAGGAGATTTACAATGATTGAATTGTCCCAGATAGTTTTGGGGAAAAAGTCCTTTAGCATTTAACGTTATAAGATAAATAAACCAGACCTGTTGCCACATCATTTATAGGTAAATGAGTTTCAATTATTTTTGAATAACCATTGTAAGACTTCATCTTTTAATGTTCAGTCTCTGACTCTGCTAATCTTCCTTTTGCACTATATTGGACTATCAAAATAAGATCTTCATAAATACAGCCATTCTTCCACATTTTTGGATTTCACTTTTGTGGATTTTGATCATTTGAGGATTTAATGCTGTCTCTGTTTAGAAATCTCGAAGTCCTCCAGCACGACTCCTGTGGTGAAATTTTGCCATTGAGTTGCACTGGAGGATCTAGTTATTCTTAGAAAGGTGTTCTCTCAGGTAAACAAAATTGTGGTTTTTTATTTCTCAGTTTCTCCACTTTTGCAGCACTAATCCAATGAATATGAACAACTGAGTGTATGTTGTTGTTCATTCGTTCAGTCATCTCCGACTCCTCGTGACCTCATGGATCAGCCCACGCCAGAGCTCCCTGTCGGCCGTTACCACCCCCAGCTCCCTCAAGGTCAGTCCAGTCACTTCAAGGATGCCATCCATCCATCTTGCCCTTGGTCGGCCCCTCTTCCTTTTGCCTTCCACTTTCCCCAGCATAATTGTCTTCTCTAGGCTTTCCTGTCTCCTCATGATGTGGCCAAAGTACTTCAACTTTGCCTCTAGTATCCTTCCCTCCAGTGAGCAGTCGGGCTTTATTTCCTGGAGGATGGACTGGTTGGATCTTCTCGCAGTCCAAGGCACTCTCAGCACTTTCCTCCAACACCACAGTTCAAAAGCATCTATCTTCCTTCGCTCAGCCTTCCCTAAGGTCCAGCTCTCACATCCGTAGGTTACTACAGGGAATACCATGGCCTTGACTAGGCGGATCTTTGTTGCAAGTCTGATGTCTCTACTCCTATTAAAATACTGCATTTATTCCTCTGTTTCATGATGACTTGATTATTCATGAGCTTGTGCCACCATCAGCCTTCCTGAAGTTAGGACTGCTCTGTGAACATTCAGTGGCAGCTCTGTTCTCAGGAGATAAGTAGGGAGGCTGTTCGGGAGGTGTGCATGCCCCATGCTTCTGTTTCCTGGTACCTCTCTTCCTTTGCCTGGGTGAAATGGACATTCAGGGCACATAGGAAGGGGAAGATGAGCTGGATCCTCTGAATAAGTGAATAAGTGAAACGGTGGCCGGCTGTTCTTCTTCCTGCGTGCCATGTGCTTCTGTTCTGCTTCCTTTGCCTGGGTGAAACTGGCACTTGCAGCATGCAGCTTAGAAAATTAGTCAGATCTGACCCTCACCTTCTTCCTGTGTGCTGCAAATTCATTGCCCCACTTATCTGGCAAGGCCTGTTGCGGCGGGGGGGGGGGGGGGCCCTCCCGCCGGACATGTCGGTAGCAGGGGGCTTCTCCTCTCCAGAAGCCCCCTGCGTGGCGGGAAATTTTCCCGCCGCTTGGTCAGTGGGCCAATCAGCGGCCGGCCCCACCCAGCCCCTGGCATTGGCCAGGGGCTGGCTGCTCCTTTTGCCCAGCAGCCTTAAATAGGCTGTGCAGGGCTAGGCAGGCACCAGGCCTGCTTCGAAGTTGTCCTCCCACCCACCCTGCATGTTTTATGTTTTGGTACAGTGTTGCAGTTGTTGTTCCTTATTTGTTTGTCACAACTTTGGTTGGCATTTGGCATGGACCCTGAATCTGGTTACTGGCCGGGGAGGGAACATCCAGTGGTTCCCAGGGGTGCCGTGTTTTGTGGCCCGGTATTGTGCCGGTGGGCCCCCTCTTGGACACTTTAGGTATCGGTCAGCAGCGGGCTGATCGATCTTGATCCAGAACCCATGCCTGGCAGCCAATCCTTTGTTCCTGTAATCAATAAATTCAGTTGTGGCCATTTTTACTCTATCTATGTGCCCATGTCTTTCCTGGTTCTGTGGACGGGAGGAGTGTCGCCCATCCACATGCAATTGTCTGTTTCATCTGTGCAAGGAAGGGGATATTGGGAAGAACAGAAACATACAGCAGACAGGAAGAGGAGGCAGAGTCAGATCTGCAGGGTAAGTGATGTTGCAGTTATGCAACAAGACTGATTCCTCTCTGCTTCCTGTTTGCCACATGTTTCCGTTCTGCCTGGTATCCCCCTTTCTTTGCCTGGGCAAAACAGGCTCTTAAGGCACTGGAATCGCACAGGGTAAGCAAAGTGGTGTGTGAGGCCAGCTCCTCCTCTGCTTATCCTTGAGATTATGGTAGTTAGTCCCCTGGGAATTGTGGCAATGGCATCCTATTCCCCTTGTACCCAAGATATTTGTGGTTTTGCATTGTCGCAAGGACTCTACTTGTGTAATCGCCACAAAAGTGGAGGGAACACTGTTTACATCTTCTTTCGAAATCAAATATGTTGCTATTCCATCATAGAACCGATCTTCAGTTTTTGTTCTTTATAAAAACACGTTTTTAATAAAAAATAGAATAAAATTATCTAATTTTGAAAGTTATGCAGTTTTTGAGTAGATAATACAGACTTCTTTTCTCTTCTATCCCCCAGAATATCTAGAACCACCTATTTTAAACTGTTCTGATCACAGTGATTACATCCAGGTAAACTGTACACCGCCTCCACAGATAGACACCCACAATCTTCCTGTGTCATACTATTGGGAAGACAGAGGAAAAGATTTTGGTCGTGGACAGTCTATTATACTGCCAATGGATGAAAGCCTTTCTGAGAAAATTACATGCATTATTCACATCTACAATGTTCAGACCAATATGTCCATCACGTTAACGGAATGTCTTTCAAAAAGTAAGTGTTTTGGTTATTTGCCCCTATGTTCTTTCTCAACTAATAAGTGAGATTGCATCAGCAGATTGCAGCCTAACCAAGGTTAAGTGGAACTAGTCAAATACATCACACAATGATGCTTTTGTTATTTAACACTGAGACATTTGTCATGCTCTCCTTCTAAAATTCTTGGCAGTAGCACTCTAATTAATTAAGTATTATATATTACATGCAATATTACTAATAATTTTACAGTATAATGGTATAGTACAATATAGTAATGTATAATGCTAATATTGTGTTATGTTAATAATAT